ATATATATATATATATATATATATATATATATATCTTACAATTATGATAGAATTGTCCATTAAAAAAATTTAACAAGTTAAAAAAGAACTAGCATACAAAAGGCACTTTGTGCCTCCATGAATTATTTTTAAAAAATAATAACTAATAAAAATTATATAATAGTGAATGATTATTAAAAATATTTATAATTATTAAGTGAAATTAAAAAAAAAATTTGTAATTTATAAAATGATAGTTATGAAGGAAAAATTGTTCAAAATTGTGGAAACTAAATAGGACAATCCCCTTTATTAATAGTATAGATATAGGAGGTGTTTGTTTTAGGTCATTTTTTTTTTAATTTTCAAAATTGTAAAGATGTGAATGTTTATTTTCGTGTTTGTTACAAGATCATGCAACAACTTTCTCAACTATCTTTTATTCCCACCAAAGTTATATTTACATGGAAGGGATGGTATGTGATATGTTAGAAATTTTATTGATCCAAACATGTTAAACACAAAAGCAAAATATTTAGATCAAGCAAAAGCAACAAATAAGAATCACAAAAAACCAACTTCTAGTCATTACTATCTACTATAAGCTCAGTTCTATATTATGTCAAAAATTCATCCAGAGCATATCAAAATCTTGACTCTTAATACCTGATGATATTGTATACTATAGATAGGAACACTCCTTATATAGAGTTTTGGTCATCACAAAACTCAACAAAAAAAATCTCCACGTTTGAGATAATGGATATATCCAAATAATTGTTGACAAGGATAATGAGTTGAACCTAGATTGATAATGAATCACATTAGAAGTAACTTCCACATGAAAATAGGAGTGTTTTTCAAATTGAAAATATTTTCCTCAAAAGAAGGGCACATTTGCTTTAAGAAAGTAACCAACATTCAACCAATTGGTCAATTTAATCCATCATCTAGCAAAACAAGAAAAAAAAATATATGAATCATGGTGACAAATCCTCTAAAAATGAGTATTATCTCCCATGTATCACAATATATCAAGTCTCTTACATTAGTTGTTCAACTTAATGAATAAACCATATGTTTACTCTAGGTCATAAGTAAATGATATTTCACACAAACATATATGCACAAAATAAATGAGAAAATATCAAACTAAATAAGAGTTTTAAATGAAATTGATTTTTTTTTGGGTGCTTAATGGTCAATTATTTCACATGAGGTGTTGTGCACATATTTTAAATTTAATTGCCCAAGATGGGTTGAGTGTTCTTGGAGAAGGCATAGAGAACGTTAGGAATAATGTTGCATTTTGGACAACTTCCCCTTAAAGAAAGCAAATCTTTTGGGGAAGCAACATGTCAAATAAAAGTTTCCATTACAAAGAATTCTACTTATTGCATACTTGTTGTTGCATTGGCCTGCAAAGATGCTTTAATCGTTTGAAAATAAGAGAGCCTTTACATGTGTTTGCCATAATCAAATGAGTGAGAAATTGCATAAGAGATTTGTTATAGGTTTGAAGTTTTTAACCATGTAACTGAAATATTTTCTAGGGCACTTTATCCAACAACAAATGCATTCTTTCCTTTAATGTGCGAAATAAAGCTTTCCTTGCAATAGTGGCAAAATTGTTCAATTTTGGCTATTCAAAACATGGCTTCAAAAATGATTGTCAAGATTGAGTAATATTGGTTTGTTATTCATGGAATTTTGGGTATTGCTATTATTTTAGATCTAAGATACAAGTTGAAGTTGTTGGAGTATTTTTTTCCAAAGCTTTATGGTAACTCATTTTCAATTGAAATTAATAATATCAAGAAATTATATTACTCATTGTTTCAAGAGTATCAAACTAAAGCTAAGGGAATAAATATTAATGAGTCAAACTTCATAACCAAATGTTAATGAGTCAAACTTGGATAATCTAAATATTAACAATTTTCTTAGTGATTATGACTCATTTGTGAATAATACTATCGAAATATAAACAAAGTCCGAAATAGAACTCTATTTGGAAGAAAAAGTTTTTCCTAGGAATACTACTTTTGACATTCCTAGATGCTGAAAAACAAATGGGATCAAATATCCAATTTTGCAAACAATTTCTAAAGATGTTTTGCCAATCCTAATTTCAATCATAACTTCAGAATTTGCATTTAATACAGGGAATATGAATTTCATTTAACATAAGAAAAGAAAAGAACAGTGAGTTTCATTTAACAACATTCCAACAAGAGAATCACTAGTGTTATAGTTATCCAAAGTTATGGTAAACAATTTTGTGTCAATATTCCATTTCATAATGCATTCTAACAACACTTTAGAAAGTACTTCATCCATATGTGGACATTGTACATACATAAACCTATCATACAAAATAATTAATTTAATAACAAAGCAATGCACAATGACATATAATTTCTTCAAATTTAAAAATAACAATTAAATTTATACCTTAAGATTTGATTTTGTAGTTCCCAATTATTGTCAAGGAAATAGCATGTAATTGCCATATACCCTTTCTTTTGGTTGGTAGTTGTCCGTAAATATGTAGTCAAAGCAATTCTACTTTCAATACTTTCTAAATAGCTCATGATGCTTACATTTTCTTATTGATATATCTACATGATATCATTCTTTATTGTGTTCTGACTCAAAATTTTAAATAATGGCTAAAGACCTTCAAAATATATTCTCAACCCCAAATATTCCACCATTGAAAATGGGCACTCATGAATGATAATCATATAAGCAATGTCTTTTTCTTGATTGTTCCAGATCAAAACTATGATTACTCATATAAGTACTTGTCCCATCTACTTTATTTTTGTTCTTTCAACAAAAGTGATTGTCTAATATCCTTATATGGGCTCCTAACACAAGTCTTCAAGTGTTTATCTAGATGATTGGTTCAATCAGACCATTTGTCTGTCAATGACTTCTTGCAATAATTGCACACTTTCTTTTCTTCATTGTAGTTTCTTTTTCTTGTAAAATGGTTCCAAATAATAAATTTTTTTTTTCATCTTGAGTTATTTCAATACCATGATCCTCAATAACATTAATCAAAAGGACTTCAATTTCACCTTCAAATAAAGCTACATCAGAACTATTCACTATCAAAAGATTACTACTTGTAGATTCCTTTGATGGATTTGGTGGAGGGTCCATTTAAAATTTAATAATATTGAGTAAACTGTATTTTAATAATAAATTTATTAGTTTTTTAAAGATTAAGTTTGTTGGCTTAATTAACATTATTAATATAAACAAACTTTTAAATAGGCTAATAGGTCAAGCTAAACTTTAAAAATGTCAGGTTAAGTCTATAAAAAAAAAGTTTGCGATAGACAATAGACTAAACTTTGACTTTAATTTTGTAAAACTGACACAACCAATATACTCTAAGTTTGACCTATCATATTCTCATCTTTAATGGTAAGCGACGACGTCAAGAGGCAGGATGCGAGGCAAACGACAAGTAGTGGCACAATGAGTGGGTAAAGATGCAAGATTACAAGAAGAAAAAATGATATTAGATAGAATTTCAGTGATAATATCATAATATAATTTAAATAAATGAATATATATATATATATATACACACATACACACATAAAACTGTAGAGCAGGATGGGTTGGGTACCATAATACTTGTACCTACACCCATACCTATTAATTTTGTGGGTTTGTACTTACCTCATACCTATTCTCATATAAACGGATATATACCTGTTTCGCATGTGAGTATTTTTGCGAGTGTCTATAGGATTCAGATCCATTTTGCCATCTTTACAAATATTTTTTTTTGAAATTTATAGTTTATAATTTAATCTATAATTTTAATCTAACTAATTTTTATATAATTTTTTCCACAGGTCTCGAAGAATATTGTGAACACATGATTATCATGTCGAAGTTTAATTATAACTTTTATTATATTAAATTTTTTTAAGTTTATTTACAAGAATTGAATGCTTCGTAATATTCATTTATAAGAATTATTATGTTAGATTTTTATAATATTAAAGATCTAACAAATTAATATTATATTTGTTTGTGTGAAATGTTATTACTATATTAATTTATTTATTTATACATAAGTGAAATGTGGGTCATAAATATTGTTTGTGTGAAATGTTATCACTATATTAATTTATTTATTTATACATAAGTGAAATGTGGATCATAAATACTAGATACACATGCACTTAAATAGTATAAAGATAAAGATTAAAATTACTATTTACGTAATATAAAATTAAATATAATTATTATTTTTAAATATGAGTATGAAAATGAGTATTATAGAACTATACCGAGAACCCATCCATTATTTTTCCTTGAGATGAATACTTTTACGATATATCTCCCACTCAATTAGTAATAATTTAACGAAAATAATACTACATGTGTGCATATTAAATATTTACTTATTATAATGATATAAACAATATTTATAGTTATAGGTGTCATAACAGGTTGAATCCTTTACCACAAGGTCCAAAACCTTTGTTTCTTTTAGAACCGGTCCGAAACCTCTTGTTAGCGACTATATCTTATTTTGATGTAGCGACAAAATAATTTTCCTTTGGTTAAGACGTGATCCCCCTTTTAGTGTATAAATTAAATACCAATATTAACTTCAATCAACACTTGTGATTTAATATACATAGGGAATTCAGCGAGTTATCATACAAATTAGCTTGAACCGTCCCTAACAATATAATATATAATATATTAATTAAAGAATAATTAATAAAATAATTTTACATTATCTTTTAATTACAAACTAACATATACGATTTTATAAAAAATTATAATCTATATATCTATTTAATTTAATTTAAAAATGAGATTTAAAAATATTTATAATTTTTTTTATTCGTTATTGGAGAATCTAGCACTAATAACGGTGACTAATCTCCTCTCTATATTAAAGGCACTTTAAAGAGTGAGATAGCTGATTCCAAAATTTAACATATTTATAATTAATTCATGACGTAAGTTTTTCTACATTACCACGAAATGATTCAAAATTGAAAAGGGTAAAAACCGACAAGCGGGACACGAGGCATGAGACGTTACCGAGTCGGAAAGTGTATAGCAGACAGCGTGGAAAACTGGTGACAGCAGTCTTCGCAAGTGACGTGTTTGCAGCTAGCTGTGTTCATAGCATAACCACAGAACCCAAATCACAAACAGAGCAACACAGAACAAAGAGATGGGAATCTCTGTTGTGAGTAGCGATTTACTGAGTCAGAAAGCTTCAGCCATGAGAGACTCTCTGGAGAAAAGCCAAACCATCACACACGACGTCGTTTCGATTCTCGGCTCCTTCGATCACCGCCTCTCCGCCCTCGAAACCGCCATGCGCCCTACCCAGGTCACCGACTCAACTCAAAATCCTTTCTTTTTTTTCCTTTTCGAATTGCGATTGCGGTTCTAGTTCATGGGAATTGCAGTCACAATGTGGTCACGTGTAGTCCAAAATTTTGACTCTGCATCCGAAATCGCAGTACTGTTGTGATTGTAGCATTTTTGCGACGAAACCGAAGGCCCCATTAATTGCTTCGCTTTTAAGGGATATATGGGTTTTTTTTTTTTGCTGTTGCACCTTTTTCAAGGCACTCCCACGTGCTGATGAGTTTGTTTTTTTCTTCTTCTTTTGGGTTTGGTTTTACAGATCAGAACGCATTCTATTAGGAAAGCTCACGAGAATATTGATAGGACTTTGAAGACTGCTGAGGCTATATTGGCTCACTTTGATCAATATTATCAGGTTTGTTTTGGTGGGGGTTCTTCACTGGTTGAAATTTTCATGATCTGCTTCACTCGGAATTGATTTTATTTCGGAGTAATTAAAAATTTCTTGTTGTTTGGGTATGTATGATGTATGAGGCTTTAAAATTTGCTTTTATGTGACAATTCCCTGTCATGGTCCTTTTCACGGTGTTTATGTTTTGTTATAATGAAATGCAAGTACTTGTCTATAGATGGTGTTATCTGAAAAAGAAGTTTGACACTGACATTTTATCTAAGAGTTTCTGAAAAAGAAATTGAAATTCCAAGAGAAGTTAGGTAAAGAGGAAGAATAAAACTGAGAAACAAGTGTTCTCAATGGCCTAACACAACCCTCCTCTTTCATTTGAACTTAGAACCGGTTTAGTGAAGGTTAGCTGAAAAGCAAATATAGAATGAATATATTAATTGTAATACATTCCATAATACATGATACTGCGAACCTAGACACGTAATTCCAATTGCAGGTTAATATACCTTTTTAACATTAGTTGAAAGAATTTTTTTTTGAACCCTTTTCTTTTTTAAGTCCATCTAATTTTACGGGAAATGTCCTGCCACAGCTAGAGCCTCTTTTAATGCCTTGTAACAAATTTTTAATTAGGTGGAAAATGTCTTGAATAAAAATAAAAAAATACCAATCAGATGTTAAGAAACATTATAGTGTTTGTTTTATTCTCATTTTTTTTTAATTTTAAATTTATTTTTATTTTTTATCAATTTGCATGTTTCTGATCATATTGTTGTTTACTCCTTTATATAGTTTTTTATTATTCTTTTAGTCCTGTATAATGCGTTAAAGTTCTGCCTTAGCCCTTAGGTATTATGAAATTAGTTTTTGCTTTATCTTTCTGTTGCTTCTTCTTTACCAACTTAAGGAATTTTCCTTTCATTGTCATATATGTGATACAGATATATCTGAATCTTATGATTTGTTTCCCTATATATGTATATTTATAGGGTGTTGTGCTCCCCTTGATCTTATATACAGGTAGGGGTGTGCATAGTTTGGTTTTTTAAAAAAACCAAACCAAACTGTACCACACTATTTTAATAAAATAAACTGGTTTATAAATTATGTGAACCACTTTAACAAATCAGTTTAAAACTGAATTACTTTAATAAACAAGTTTATAATCGGTTTAAAACCAATTTCATAATCAAATCAATTTTTGAACCGGTTTTAAGAAATAAACTAGTTTTAAATAAATTGTTAATATGTTTTAAGAAATATATGGGGTCAAAGAAATATATGGGTCTGCCAGAGGATCATAATGAACAAAAGAGCATTTGCAAAGCAACAAAATGTAAGAAACTCCTCCTAAGACATCCTCTGAGCAGCGAGAGATAGAGTGAGTGTGAGAGTTCCGTCTCCGAGTCCGAGCGAGCGAGCCATATTGCTATAATCCAAATATATTAGTAAACCAAACCTTTAAAAAAATAGGTTCAGTTTTTTCGTTTTATTTTAAAAAATTAAATCTGGTTCAGTTTTATTATAATTGGTTCTAGTTTTTTTAAAATGGTTCGGTCTAGTTTTAAATTCAGTTCAGTTTTTTTAATTTTTTTGAACACCCCTATATACAGGCAGAAGCCAAAATAGTTAAAGGACCACATGAAGATGTGAAGAACTATCTTGAAGCAATTGATCAGCTGAGAAGAAACATTAGATTTTTTGGCAATAAGAAGGGTTTTAAGAGTGATGATAGTATTGTCATCCATGCCAATAATTTGATATCCGAAGCTATTTCTAAGCTAGAAGATGAGTTTGAGCGGCTATTATCATCTTACAGGTTTGTATTTCTTTGCTTAATGTTGTTGATCTTTTGAAGTGTTCAACCAAAATTTTATTTTCTTGCATAAACATAATCACCATTGATAATTCTTTGTCTCAAGTAAATGACATTTCATTAGATAAATCAGTCTTTAATACAAAATTGAAGCAGAAGTCTGGTATCAGTCAAGTCTTGCTGCTAACATACAAGACTTTTTTTTCTGATCATTATATTTTTATATATAATATGAATTTGGTTTATAAACAAGCCCAATGACACTATGGTCCATGTAGGTGACCTCATCTACTGGGATAGGCTACTGTTTTTGTTGTATAATATGAATAGTATTTATGATTTGAAATAAATTTAATCCATTTTCAAGTTTATGTTGATGTTTCCCTCTTGTATCATCCTTATGGTTATTATACTTGAAAGGGTCTTGTATTTTTGTTGTAGTAGGTCTTTTGCGTTATAACTTTCAAAGGATTAGTTTGTCCATGATTCTAGGGGTGGTAACAACTTGATGGTGTCCTTGATATTATTAATCTTTGAAATATCTTCAAATTATGTAGGAAAATGGTTTACTTGGTATAGAAGCATAATGGTATTCTTGAGGAGCCTTTGAGATTCTGCCTAACATTTTTTTTAATGGTGAAAAATATATTTATGTAATTTTGCACTATCTCTTGATCTGAGTAATTACAGTAAACCTGTTGAACCTGAGCGCCTCTTTGGTTGTCTTCCAAACTCAATGCGGCCTTCATCACCAGGTCATGATGGTGATCCTAATGGAAAGAATCATTCTCCTAATCTCCATTCGGAGGCACATAAAAATAGTGCTGATGCTGTTTTATACACACCTCCTGTTCTTATACCACCAAGAATTTTGCCATTGCTCAATGATTTAACCAAGCAAATGGTTCAAGCTGGTCACCAACAACAGTTGCTTAAAATATACAGGTAGAGCTCCTTCTTTTGAGTGTTTTATTGTAAAAGGAAAAGGAAATTGCCTTGCTTCCTCTATATATGCATATTTCATAAGCACCTTGAACTGAAAAGTATATTTTCTTTTAAAGCTTTTTATTGAAGTGTAGAAAAAAATTAAGGAGATTTTTGTGAGTGAAGCTTCGACCTTGATTTAACTTGGAATTGATTCTAGGTGATTGATTGACAACTCAATTGTACAATATAGATATAGACACATTTGACATCTCTTGGGCAAGTTTGTCAATCTCGAGAGTTTACATAATCTTGTAGAGGCTCCGTAAACTCGAATCGTAAACTTGTAAGAGTTTACCTAATATAAAAAATATGTTAAAATACTTATAAATAGCATAATAATTAATATTTTAACTTCATATTAAGGTAAAATATTGCAACAATAAAGTAACAAATTTTAGTGGCAAATACATAATTTTGCACAAGACACAACTCACAATTTCTTAAAAATAAAAGGATAGTAAATAAAAAACTAAAAAAAGACTAATATCTTCAAATCAAGTCTAAAAAATATTAACTACTACATGTGTAGTATATTTCTGGACTGGATAAAAAAAATGGGACACGAGAAAAATAAACGGAAGAAGGAAGGGAAGGGGAAAAAAAGAACCTTCACTACAAAGAATGAACAACCCTAGTGCAAAGAGAATGTGGAGGAGAGAACCTGAATGCACGTCTTGAAGGAGAGAACTAGAGCGCATAGCGCGAATGAGAAAATCAGCATGCATGGCAAAGAGGAGAGAACCAGAACGCACAATGATGCGGAGGAGAGAACTAGAACGCATGACGCAAAGAGGGAGAACGAGAGTCGCACGACACATAGAGCAGGAAAAATACTTTGTTTTAGGAAAATCCTAAGTTAAACATGTGTTTTAGGGGGTTTTGTGAGTGAAGTCCGTAATCTTGTAATATCGAATTAAACTCACAAGATTACTTGAGATTGCACAAGATTGCTTGAGATTACTTGAGATTACTCAAAAGCGAGATTACTAACGAGTTATACAGGTATGACCGACCAATCTTGTAATCTTGTACGAGTTTACGAGTTATTACTCGAGATTGATAACCATGCTCTTGGGTCTAACTTACCACGGTGAGGACTATGAGAATGAATAAGTGCAACACACCCAAGTACACGACATGGGAGACTTAATAGTAGGGGAAAAGACGAGAAAAATGACACGTGTTCAACTAGACTAATACCCTGTAAGGCACGAGTGGGTAACCTGTTAATGAAATAAGTGACAGGAAAACTTCTCGGTAGACATTAAGGACAAACATTTGAAAAAGTAGAGCTCTGGGAACCTCAAGTAGGTGATGAATTTTCTTTTTGCAACCCCATTTTGTTGGGGAGTATTAACACTGGTTAATTCATGGATAATGACCTGTTAGGTAACAAATTTAGAAAATTCAAGATTAACATATTCGGTTCCATTGTTTAATTGAATTCTTTTGATAGACTTACCAAACTGATTTTTGATAAGACGAAAAAACTTGACAAATATTTGACAACCCTCATATTTGAGCTTCATATGGCAAGTTCATGACAGATGGGTATAATCATCAATGAAAGTTACGAACCATCTGGCCCTAGAAACAGATTCCACAATAGTCCCATACATCAGAATGGACAAGATCAAATGAGAAACACTTTTATTATTACTAGGCAAAAAGGATGCATGACAGTGCTTAGAAACATGACAAATATCACAATTAAAAGACTCGACAGTCTCTTTTGTAAACAAATGTGGAAATAGAGATTTAAGTAAACCAAATGGAGGATGTCCTAGATGCTTGTGATGAAGCCAAACTTGTGAAGCAACCCAAGTGTTTGAGGTTGCTTGGTGACTAGAAGACATCTCATTTTTTCTCATATTGTCATTTGTTTTATGTTGCAAAAAGTACAACCCATGTTTCTCTTTAGCAAATAAAAATTGTCTTCCGAGAGGCACAATGAGAATTAAAAAAAGTTACAGAGCAATTTTAAATCTCAAGTACGCTGATGTATAGAATGAGATTCTTGGCTAATTTAGGGACATGAAGAACATTGTGTAATGATAGAGATGATTTAAGTTGGATGCTGCAAGATCCATCAACTGGAACACGATATCCATTAGCAACCGTAATAAGTTGTTTGTTAGGTTCTCTGATGTATGTTGTAAAGTGTGTAGGGGACAGGTCATGTAGCTCTAGAATCAAGAACCCATATGCTTTGGGAAATAGCACTAGAAATTTTAAAGGAACTCTTACCCTTCATGGTCAACACCCAAGAACCTGATGACTTACACAAGAAATCAAGGAGGGTTTTGAAACGATTTACTTCCTCCAATGAAGGATAAAATATTCTGGTGAACAGTACCACACGACCATTGTATGGTGAATAGTACACTGAAGCAGTGATCCATGCACAATACTTGATGAACAGTACCATGTGGAAAGTCCACAATGAACAGTGACATATGAACAGTACACAATGCACGGACAACTTTTTTTATTTGCACCTCCTGGTCTGACAACTGTCAGTCCTATAGGCTATTACTGTGAAGAACAATATGCCAATATTGAGCAGCACAAAAATACACCAGTATAGAGCAATGGAAATAGAATTCCCAAGATCAAGAGCTCTAATGCCAAGTTGAAAAAAAGGAAACTGTATATTAATTGTGTATTTTGTACATTCCCTAATCTCCCTATTTATATAGTAAATGACTATGCTTAAATAAGGAAACAAAATAAAGAAGTAGGGAAACAAATATCTAAAGATATTTAGAGATATTCTAGATCTTCTAAATATCTATGATATTTACAACAATAAGGATAAGAATTCTCTTTTTTATTTTCCCCAGTTTCACTCGATTATCTGAGGAGTTGAGATGTTTGTTGAAGCATCTGCCGGCCTCCTTGTGTTTTTACAGTTGTAATTAACTGCTGAGAATAATTATGAAAAACTTTGTTCTTATCTATTATTTCTTAAACCAGAGGTTTGGGAACTTTCCAAATCCATGGTAAAATTGTCCATGACAGGATCAAATTGTGTTCTGGTTTCCTTAGGAAATGTTGTGGACATCATTTCTACCAATACTCAGCAGCTGGCTGGGCACTGATATGACATTAGGGTGAATAGCCAAGATTGGACTCCTGAGGGAAAAATAAAAAAGGAGTAAAATGATTTCAGATTTGCAACATGGACTAAAAAATTCAATTTTTTGGTTGATTAATTCTATGGAACCAGCAATAGGTAAGCCGTTCCCAATTTTACTGGCAGCCAAAGCCAACTGTAGGACTGTTAGAGACTTGACTCTGACTTGGAAAAAAATTCATCCGAGACTTGTTGAGAATAATCCTCAGAAACTTGTTTTCTTTTTGTTAGAATCTGTCTTCTGATACATCCTTACTGGTGCTTCATTCAGGTTGCAGCTGTCAGTAACTTGGTGCATTTCTGGGTAGTTTGTGTATCAATCAAAGAAGAGTTTATGCATAGACTATGAATTCTAAATAATTTGGTAGTATATCTACTTATATTTCAGCACGAGACATATATAATGCATACACAAAATCATACATGTTCCCCTGCATATTATTATCTGTGTAATTATTTTTTTATGTCCACATGCTAATGCATATTTTAAACCTCCTATCACCTGTCTGAAGTGTATTAAATGTTATACTATTGCTATAATTATGAATTTATGATTATAAGCGTCTTTATTGTTCAGAGATACCCGTTCTAATGTATTGGAAGAAAGTCTGCAAAAGCTTGGAGTTGAGAAACTCAGCAAAGATGATGTTCAAAAGCTACAATGGGAGGTTTTAGAAGCCAAAATTGGAAACTGGATTCATTTCATGCGTATTGCTGTAAGACCATTGTAAAATTTATTTATATATATTATCTTTATATAGTTCAATTATGACCATTGTAAAATTTGTTTATATATATTATCCTTATATAGTTGTTCAATTATGCAATTATACTTGAACAGGTCAAATTGTTGTTTGCTGGTGAACGGAAAGTCTGTGATCAGATATTTGAAGGATTTGACACACTTAGTGATCAGTGTTTTGCTGAAGTAACTATAAACAGCATTTCCATGCTGCTTAGTTTTGGAGAAGCAATTGCCAAAAGCAAGAGGTCACCTGAAAAGTTATTTGTACTTTTGGACATGTATGAAATATTGCAAGAGATCCATTCAGAGGTATTAGCTTTTAACATCCAAATGGTTAAGTCTTGCTGCTACTTTCAGTCCACTGTGAAAGTTTCATAAATCTTATAGGGTTAATAATAAAAGATGTCATATCCCACAATGCCATCCACCATATTTCCATGGCAGATTTTTGGCTTGTGGCCATAATCTGCCATCAATAACACTGATCAATCAAAGGCAAAGCATTATACTTTTTTCATTAAACTGGGTTCTTGCTAGTTTTTACTCCTAACAATTTTTATATTCGACCTGTGATAGAATTTCACATTAGCCATGACAGTAATTATGTGACTAGTCCAAGATGTCTGATATATTATGTGTTCATGGTCATGCAGTGTAGGGTTTTGTTGCTGCTTTGCATGCGGTTAATGAGAAATAGGAGGCATATTTTGAGAGTTGTAATTTATTATCATCTTTTGCTCTGGACAATTTGCAGATTGATATGCTCTTTAAAGGCAGAGCTTGCACCAAAATAAGAGAAGCTGTAACGGGTTTGACAAAACAGCTTGCACAAACAGCCCAGGAGACCTTTGGAGATTTTGAAGAAGCAGTTGAGAAAGATGCTACCAAGACTGCAGTGACTGATGGAACTGTTCATCCTTTGACAAGCTATGTGATTAACTATGTGAAGTTTTTATTTGAGTAAGTTCATCTTCGCTGTATTCTGCTTCAAATTCTCGACTCCACTCATTAAATTATGTGTAGCATTTTATATTGTTTTCACTGGTGCCAAAGCTGTATCTTTATTTATCTAGGATGCGTGGGTATTTTTTTCTTTGGTTTTCTTAATTTTTTTAATAGGTACAGCTTCTTTCTTTAATTTCTTCTGCCAATTATCTTAACCTGTTTGTATTTTTTAGTTTAGAAGATATATTAAAAATTAGTCATGGACTTTTCTACCTAGCCTAAACTAGTAGATGACCAAAGACAAATACCATTGTTAAAATAATTGTGCAGCTTTATAAAAGCTGTTTTTGGCCCTATCTATCTCAAGGTTAAGGTCTTTAGGCCGTAGCCTTGCTTTTGCTGACAATTGTACTTGTTCTGATCCTTTTTGTATATAAATATCAATATCATATACCAGCTGAGAGCAATCTCTCTCTAAATGTTTTTTGCCAAACATCAAATTTCAAGTGTCCGCACAATGGGGCTTTTCTTAGAGCATCTCCAATGCTTAGTTGCTTAAGTGAATTTCTTAGTTTTTTTTAGTGGACCCCATTATTCCATGTAAGATTTAGGAATTTTTACAAAATATTGCTCCAATGGTAAATTTCTTATTTAAGTTCTTAACTTAACTATGGAACCTATAATTAATATCTTTTTCCTCTATTCCAATGCAGTCTCTCCTCCATCAATTGTCATCCTACAGTAAAATTATATTTTTTATTCCTTTTGTCAGTTAAGACACTGCTGCTTAATTAAGCGACATAGCTTACATGTGGCAGCCACTTGACATACTCCAATGTTGAGAATTGAGAAATACTGTTGCTTAATGTTTAAGAACTCCAATAAGATCTGACGCTGGAGATGCTCTTATGCCCCTAGATCTTTGGGGAAAAGAAAATTCATATTCCTTATTAAACATAAAATCAATCATTCATGTGCCTTCACCCAAAAGCTTAATCTTTTGACGAAGTTGGTTCATGACATGGTTTTAGAACGTCTATGAGCCATTTATTCTAGAGTTTGATTGTTTTTACCTCTATTCAAAATAAAAGTTAAATTTAAGCACCAGGTACAGAGTTCATGTGTGTTGTCCATGCTTCAAAATAGACACTTGTGTAATGGTGTGTTAGATATAAAATCATTCCTCCCTTCGGTAGCATCAATGTCCTCTTCCTTTTTTGTTAGATGCTTAGATATTTTCGGGCTTAAAAGCTATTCATATATCAGTATACCAATCCGGTAAATTCTTGGCATTGATTTTCATGGAGATTATGGATCCAGAAAATTCACAGAATTTAGTTTCATGGACATCAATACTTTATAGTGGAAATGGAAGAGAGCAATAATGCCCATTTTGGGGCTTAAGGGTTGACAAAGTCTTGGTATGACGTGGAAACCCTGGGAGTGATGTATCAGCTTCAGACACTAACAGAACGAGTGTTTTGGAGTGCATGAGGGCGTTGATAGTCTCCAGTAATTGCCCTCAAAGTGACTTCTGATCAGAGACTTCTGACACAGAAGATACCCTCACCTTGATGGTTGAGGGTGTTGACTCCAAGTGTCCAACCTTGTCAGTGGCTGCCTGACTGACACAAACTAGGGTTTTCAGCCCCATGACCTCATGGGAGTTGGTTCATGACTCAAACTATTTTTCCAGGAAACTAATATACTTGGGCTAGAGAAAAATAAAAATCTGGAAATGTAAAAGTGACGTGCTTTTGTAGTTGGTTTAGGTTTGGAGAAAATTTTAGTTTGCATGTGCAAGAAAGATGATTCCCAGAACGTGTCATTATTCATTTATAAGTCTTCTAAAAAGAATATGCAGGGAGCTGCTGAATTTTGCATCAGATTTCCCTATGCCTATAAGATTAATTGTGACTGCAAAGGGTCCTGTGCTGTAGCATGCCTGTACTTTCACAAATTTGTGGTCTTCAACTTTGTCAGAAGATCTTACCGAATAATCCTATTGATTATTCTGCTGTGCTAAATTGAAAATTCCAACACTTTGAACTGAGTTTTTTTTATTTTTCATACCTATTAATGTTTCAAATGAAGGAATTGGGAAGTCCCATGCTTTAATTCTAAATTAAGTGAAATTACTTATCAACCATTCATTTTCTCACTTTATGCAAGGATAATGCTTAAAACTCGTGTGTTAATTTTTTTTAGTTTGTAAAATATGCCTCTATATACATTTGAGATCTTGATTTGTTTACCATTAAAAAATTCACTAAATATTTGCAGCTATCGCTCTACCTTAAACCAACTTTTCCAAGGAATTGAAGGTGAAGGCTCACAGCTAGCGTTAGTGACATTGCGAATATTGCAAGCTCTTCAAATCAATTTAGATGGAAAATCAAAGCAATATAGAGACCCTGCTTTGACACACTTATTTCTCATGAACAATATTCATTATATTGTCAGATCAGTTCGGAGGTATCCACATATCTTGGTTTTAATTTCGCTGAACACATGAGAATTTTACTGCATTCTCTTTTGGTTCAAAGTTATTGATTTCCTAATCTTCTTCTATTTTAGGTCTGAAGCAAAGGATTTGTTGGGAGACGATTGGATTCAACGGCATAGGAAGGTTGTGCAGCAGCATGCCAATCAATACAAAAGAATCGCTTGGGCAAAGGTGGTTTCCAATTGATTTAGTTGACCACTATATGTGTTGCAGGTTTCTTGGATGTTATTTCAGTGTATTGGTAGATTTGAATTATTAATAAAGATAGATGTTTGTGGTTCATCTTTTAGTTGATCGAGTTAAAATTGCCTAGTGTTTGGTTCCATGTGAAGTGAGCTTAATGGATTTTGTTGCATAATTTCTTTTAGTTCACTTTTAGGAAATCTGGTACTATACTTTGAATTATGAATGTATGAGGGAAATAGAAAAATACATCAAGAATTCTTCTAGCTTAATCTTTCTTTATATAACCTTTATATTGCTTGAAATAGAGTAAATCCCTGAAATGGTCCTGCAAACATTAGGTGTTACCATATTAGTCTTCCAAAGGTTTTTAAATGTTTTTGTCAACAAATTTGTCCTTCGTGAGAACAAATTTGGTAACATTTTAGATATTTTAAGGGACTAACTTGGTGACAAAAATCTTTAGAAGAATGAAGTGGTGACATCGTAATCATTGAAGAATTAACTTAGAAGTTTACTCTTTTGAATGTTACTTATTGGCTTCATCATCTTAGAAGGTAGTGACATTTATGATTTCTGTTTAAAAAACTACGGAAATTTGTAGTTATGGCTTGGAATCTGAGTACCCATCTAGTTTAGGAAAGAATAAAGTAAATCACACCTTGTATAGTAACCAGAGAACAAAAAACTTCGAGCACAGAGAAATTCAAAATTAAATACTTGTTTTTTTGTTGAAAATTGAAATTAGAGACAAAGGATAGAGGTAAGATCTCATCAAAAGAGATAAGGGTGTTAGAGGAAGCAGTAGTCTTCCATTTGCTATGTATGGATGATGCAAGTTTGTTTTCAGAAGAGAATAGAGATAGTCTAATTTGTGCTTATATCTTTATATAATTCATTGATGTTGTATTCTGGTTTAAATTTAAAAAACAAATTGTGAAGGGTGGCTTGACCAGGTTGAGTGTTGATATTAGAGTCTTTCTTCTAGCTTGTAAGGCATGGTTGTGTGACCCTTGCTTGGCTTCTTAATTTGGTATTACATTCCGAGATCCTGTGATTCTTTAAATTTCTAAGTGATAAATTGAAGGGTGCCTCCTTTTGTATAAGGAGTCAAACTTGTTGTATTAGGAGCCAAATCACACTCATAAATTTGTTTATTTACTAGTGTCCTACCTTTTTCAAAAGACAAAAGTTGATTGTGTATTTATAATATTATATAGTCAGATCCATTCTGTTCATCTTTTATATCAATTTTGACCTTTATGCACGTGACCTAAGCAGTGTTACCCCATCCTCCATTTATTTGGCAACTCTTTTAGGGGTACTGTACCATTTCTGAATTTTTATCTTCCCATCGGCAGATTCTTCAGTCCCTCTCTATTCAGGGCCTCATCTCCTCAGGTGGTGGTAGTAGCACTGCTGGTGCTGATGGGAGCAGTAGTGGCGCTTCAAGAGCAATTGTTAAAGACAGGTAGCTTTTCTTTTGCTTCTTTGTGGACTTTATTTCCAATATAGCATTTGTCCTCTTTCTGAATCTTTTGACATGTCAATATGACCATGTTCTCAGGTTTAAGACATTTAATACTATGTTTGAGGAACTTCATCAGAAACAATCTCAGTGGACAGTACCAGACACAGAGTTGCGAGAGTCTCTTATTCTTGCAGTTGCTGAAGTCTTGTTGCCTGCCTATAGATCATTTGTGAAACGATTTGGGTATGTATTCTCCTCTTAACTAACTGTTTGAATTCTAGTAACACGTCGTCTAACATACTCTTTCTAACACACTCAAATCTCAATTATGTGCTAAAATTTATTAGAAAGTAGAAGCTACAATATCACGAGAGGTTCATTCATTAAACTGAGTTAGACCCACATAATTTTGTGATTCCCAACGAATTCCATCCAATATTTAAGAGTGTGTTAGAGGATGTTACTAGCATTCCTTTAACTGTTTTATATGAATGCATCATTTACTCGATGTCGGGCAAACTGCATCCCCTCCCCTGGTAAATGCTTAAATTACACTTCTCTTTCCTAGAGATTAATGTGTTATTACTTGGTCCAATTTAGCGTGAACTAGCTTCTTTGGAAAAAAAATTTTCTCTTGTGATTGTAGGCATCAATGGTAGTAGTTTTGAACCCTTATTGTATTAGATTTGGAACTTTAATAAATCAAATTGAGATTTTGGGTGAGGTTCCCAACTTTATGTATTTGTTGGACAACTTCGCTCAATGCCAATTGGTTTTAAGATGAAATCTAATATGGTATCAAAGTCTAGAGTCCATCTTCTTAGTTTGCCTATTTTGGTAGACATTGCTTGGTTCGATAGACATTTGTGGAGGAGGGGTGTTGGAAAGTCCCACATTGCCTGCGTCAATTCTTTGGGTGTGATTTATATATCTGTTGGACAACTTCACTTAATGCCAATTGGTTTTAAGATAAAATTTATCACTTTATATGATAGGGTTGTCTAAAATTTCATTTTTATTTTTTCAAAAATAGTTGCCAAAGATGGTGAAAATTTCAGAGGAAAAATGTTATTGGGAGGCTCATAGTTCTTATTACTACTAAGGGGGCTCATTTACACTAAAATAAACAAAATACATCATATTTCATCTTAAAGCCGAGAAGAGTCTAATTTTTTAAATTAGAGGCGAGGACTGTTATATAAGTATCTTTGAGTGTGTAGTGTATCCTACTCAGTTTATTTTTACTTTGTGGGAACGGAAATGCATGAATGAGAAATAATAACTTTTCCTCCCTCTAGACTAAGTACCTGAATTTTCTGATTTTTTTACTCCTTCAACTACTTTAGGGTTAATTTATTGGCATTCAATGTCTTGTAGTTTTGGTATGAGCTATTATGATATATATTATAATTGAGATCCTTGTGCATCGCAGGCCACTAGTGGAGAATGTAAAGAGTACTCAGAGATACATCAAATACACTGCTGAAGATCTGGAGCGAATCTTGGGTGAATTTTTTGAAGGAAAAAGCATAAATGATTCTAAGAGGTAATCGGGGCTTTGTTGTCATCTGCTTCATGGTATTTAGAGGTTAATAGGGTCTGTATTTTACAATAGCATATATGGACTTTCAATGCCCCTTTTTTTTTAATCTCTTTTGAGGTGCATATATGTAATAAGGGATTGGTGCCCATCAAATTTCAAGCGAGTCCATTCCATTTATCAAATGTTTTGATTAGTGATGCTCGTGACCCCACCTCGGTGAGTTCAAAGTTCATAAAACATTTAAGTATAGGAGGGGTTTTTATGGAAGTAAAGAGTTATTGTATTGGATAGAATAAAAGATATATAAAAAAGATACAAGCTATATTTACAAAAGAGATGAGCATGAAGCTACAATTGGAATAGGATCTGTTGTGATGTTGGGCAAGAAGTGTTGTCTCGGTGGCGTGTGTTGTGTTTATCACGAACTCAGGAAAATTACGGTGGTGACACCTATAAGAACTGGATGGCAAAATTGGTGTTTGTGTAAAGTGATTGCAAGAATAGAAATAGTTATTTGAATTCCTTTGTATGTTTCTGCTTAGTGTGGTACATTCGAGCTTAATGATACATGTGTTGGGTAAGACATAATCGTTGTAGAAGTGTCAAAGTTGGGGAAAATGTTACTGAAGTGTAGAATTTGTACTAGGTCATGGTGACCTCCATAGGAAGTAACACCAACTTGTGAGTTAAGGACTTGATCTAGGTTGTGATAACCTACCTCCACATCAGTCGTTCCTAAGTTGCCTAACCTCATTTTAACGAATAATTAGATGAGATAATCATTCAAATAAAAAAAATAAAAGAAAGTTCGGTGCTCTATGTTTCTCTATTATAATTGAAGCTGTCAAGTTTTATTCTTTTATTAATTAAATTCAACTAAATTTTTATGTTCCGAGTCCATAATTTATAGGTATCTAACATATTGATATCTAACGATTTTTTGTAAAGTGGTGACGAAGGGTATAACTTGTCCAAATCTTTCTATTTTTCAATTTGATCGACCCATTCATTTGTAGAGCTACTTACTTGGTTGTAGACATTTTTGTAATACCTCTAACAGAGGGACAAATAGACCATGGGTGGTAGTCTCGTTTATAGGTTTAAATCAATACGTTCTAAGAAGAAATATTTGAATCTCATCAATTAGATTATTTTTTCGAGAAAATATGAGACGTGAATATCATTTAAGTAAAACAATTTATTTCTTGATAAAAATAATAAAAAACATGAATGGTGATTTAATTGATTGATGATAGATGACCTATGTTGATCTTATAGGTTGTGCGTTTTGATAGATGATATTATGACATTGGTTATTAATCACATACATTTAAAAATTCTAGTTGTATGGTTTTAGAAAGCCAAATATTATATATCTAATGTGTTCTATATATATATATATATATATATATATATATATATATATATATTTTTTTAATTTAAGCTATGGACTTGATATGGGATTTATGATTTGGTATCCTTTATCCAAAGAAATGTTTCATATGCATCATTTTTATTTAGTAATTAACAATAATAATTAATATAGTTAGGGTAGATGGTGTCACATTTTTCATCAATCATACTTGTTTGTGATTTATTTAATACAACTTTTACACAAACAAGAGTTGACATCCTTGCTGATTAGCCGCATAAGAAGGAACAAAGTTTGTGCATTTTCTTCAAGAATTCGTCATTTTTTTCAAGGTACGAATGTTTATGTAATTTCAATTGAATGTGTTGATGATTAATGTTACATTGTTACTGGAAATCACTTTTCGTAACAAACATATACTATTTTTTGAAAATAGACAAATTATTTCATAAAATAATTTTTAAAACTGTTATTCTTTTAAAATATAGTTTCAAAAATTACTTTTTGAAATGATATATCTTTATTTTGACAAGTCATTTTCAAAAGAGAAGATGCGGATGAGTAGAAGGGTAAAAGAATATTTGAGGGAAAAAAAATGAATTTCAGAGAGGACATTTAAGTAATTTTATATACTAGAGAAGTGAATGAGAAATGTACCTAATAAACAAGGAAGATGTAAATAACCAAAGGCAACATTATTTTGTCAGATTTTTTTTATACCCTTTTTGGTATTATTTCTTTTTCTCATGGTATTAAAATACATATTATGAAATTGAAAAGTCTGTTTGGTTGTTAGGATATGTTTGGATAAGATATGATACATATTATAATAAGTTGTTTGTTAAAAATTTTTATCTTAAAAAGAAATGAATAAATTAATATCGTTGGAAACATGTTATTTATATTTTAAATATTTAGATTTAATTAATTTTTAATTATTTTAGGATTTTTTTTGTTTTTGTTTTTAGAACAAGATGATATCAATATTTAATTTTTGTATTAAAGTTTTGCTTTATAAATAGGAAGTACATGAAGGAAATTAAAAATTATACTTCTCTTGAAAAGTATCTCTACAAACTATAGTAAAATACAAATATAACATAATTTATGAATATGATATTCTTATTGTATCTCTTATACTCACTATATAGTGTAACTATTACAGTGACGCTGTTGTTTATTATTGTTGTTGTTCTTAGCTCTTTATTTCCCAAGCTAACTAGAATGTTGTGTTACGGAACCCAAAACATTTTAGTCCAGAATTTGAAAATGAGTGGGATGCACTTTATTAACAACCTGCCATGGTGCATCGAATAAGGATTAATACATTGTTTATAATTTGTGGAATCCAATTATTTAGATTTCTTTTACCCTTGCTTTTCATTTTTATGCAATTCAGAAAAGAAAAAAAAATTAAAATGTTTTTTTTTACCTTTTCTGGAAAGCTCTTTCAAAATGATTGTAAAAAATGAAGGCTTAAATAACTTTTTGGTACATGTAAAACAGGAGGGTTTTGATTCTTCCTCTTAAAAAATTATTTTCATTCTTATAATTTTTTTTTTCATTTTCATCCTAACGAGAAAAAAGTCAAAAGATTATAAGGAACAAAATAGAAAAACAAGAAAACTATAGAAACCAAAATAGAAAAGGACTAAAATGCAACTAATTAAATTTTAACTAAAATTAAAAAGATTTTTTAAAACAAAATAAATAAAATTAAAAATATCAAAATTAAAATAATTTTATTTTAAAGGGACTAAACTTCATAAAGTTTAAACTTTAATTTGCACCTATACAAAAGTACAACTCTCATTTTGGGGACCATCTGAAAAATTAAACTTTAAACATAATCGTTCATAGAAATTGGTCAATAAAGTTGCAATCACATTCAAGTTATAAAAGATATATAACAAATGGATAACAGAAAAAATAAAACATAAAATATAACATAAATGTTAATTAATAAATAATAACACAAGACATGAAATGAAATGATAATGAGTTTCTTTTTTAACTTAACATAATATATAAAAGATATCAGTAGTGTTATAATGTAATTTTGTTTAGGGTTTAGGGTTATTATAATATATTAATATGTATATTACAATATGATTTGTAACCTCTATTATATTTTCTGTTTGATTTTTCTATTTATTTGTTATATTAATTGTACATTTGTAAGAGTGATTAAGTTTTATATACAGGGTTGACCTTGGGCTTACGATGTAAGGGCGACTGCTCTAGGCCCAATTTCAGAAGGGACCCATAATTTTGTATAGCCTTTAACCATTTTAAAAAAAAATATGTTAAACTTTTCCATTTTCCCGTGTTGCAAGTCCAACGCAATTCATAAATAGATAATTCCAATTTTTATCTTTCCAATAAATGTTACTTGTGTCTAACAATATATATGAGGTTATAATTACATCAGTGTAACTTTTACTAAGTATTACACCGCTCAATAATCTTATATTAAATGTGAATTTTATAAATCTAACTATTAGATTAAAAGTTCATATCTTTTAGATCATATATACAAAATTTTATTAATCTAAGATAATTTGATACTTCATTCTTATAAAAAAATATGACATAATATATTCACTTCAAAATATACTAAAATATGAACACTTTGATTACCTTCAAGTTATTATTCAATTTTAACAAAATTTGATATACACATATAAAATGATATGAACTTTCAATTTAATGGTTAAATTTACAAAATTTACAATTAATATAAAGTTATTGAGTGGTGTAATACTTAATAAAAGTTACACCGATGTAATTATAACTCTCCTCTCTCTCTATATATATATATATATAAATTTTAAAGCCAGGAAACTAAAAAGTTAAAACTATTATCTGCACTCTAAAATCATAAGTCCATAAGTCATTTTTTGGCCAATTTTGTACTACAGTTACGTTACCTTGTGTGACATATGCTCATTTTCAAGTCTTTTTCTACTATGCTGATGCAATGTGGTTGTCACAATTGCCAATGATTCAAAACCTATTGTGTTGGCACGTGAGCGTTTTCTTGAGAGTTCATATTAAGCACTTCATTTTTTTATTTTTATAATTTCCATTACCATGCATTGACTTCCCTATACATTTTTATATAAAAAATTATTATTATACTATAGCACTGCAGCACCATTTTGTATCTGGTTACTTTTCTACTGATAACGTTAATTATTTTTATTTTTTTTACGACTAAAACTGTTTAGCATAACAGTTGGTATTATATGCATCTTGATCCATCATGGGATAACTTATCATGTGTTCACTAGTTTTCAAATTTTATAAGTATTCTTAGAATATTTCTAACCAAGCATATTCTCAAATATTCCCAACAATAACATTTTTAGTTATAAAATTCTTAGGAATGTAATTCTAGAAATAACATATCATCCTCGAACGAGCTTAAATATTTTAGGATTTTATTTATTTATTTGTTTGTTTATTAAATTTTGATACCGGATATGATTTTCTTGTGGAATATTTTATATATAGTTGCTTTGAAACAATAATTTATCACTAGATCACACAATTCTTGAAGTTTTTTTTTCTTTTCTAGAAGATAAAATTAAATAAACAAGTCAGTGAAGTTATGAAATTATACTTTACTCGGGTAAATAAAAGAAATTTACTTATTTTTTTAGTCAAAATGCACAAGAAAAATGGATGTAGATATTTAGTTGAGAATCTGTTCAGCTTAAGAGGATTAGTTTAGTGATGGATTAATTAAAATAGTTTTGTAGAAAGTTAAAGATTCAATTTTTACTATCATTGTTTTAAAAAAATGAGAATAATATATTTTTAAAAAATTAAGAATACCCAAATATTTAATTAATGTCCCTGTGGTTAATTTTATATTGATCAATTAAACTATATTTACGGCGTTTAAATTTGACTTTTAGAATTAGTAAACGTGTGAACAAGGATTCAACTTTGACTTCTACTTCTAGGTGAATTGTTATTTTCTTGCATTACTTTAGTATTTGATTTTCTTTTATACGATGTTGCCTAAACAACATTTATCTGAAAATGAAAAAAGAAAAAAGACAAAATGAGAGGAAAAGATATTAAAATTACAATAAGTAGCTTTCATAAATTTACTTAAAAAAATGTAGGATCTCTTCAAAATA